TGCATGTATGAGTTGTCCTTGAGGAGCATCTTGAGGTAGCAGTGCAGGCGCCAGGTCCGCCAGCTGGCGGTTGTACCGCGCCTCGGGCCCCTGCAGGTACTTGCTCACCAGCTCCCCCTCCTGCACGGCGGCGTTCCAGGCGCAGGCAGGGTGGGTGTGCCGCACTCTCATGCCCCGCACCTGGCCTGCACCAGCACCAGCACAGCACCAGCACCAGCACCAGCACCAGCACCAGCAGCAGCAGCAGGAGGAGGCGGCAGTGTCCAAGCGGCAGCCCACCACCACCAACACCACCACCAGCGGCAGCCCACCGCCGCCCACCTCAAACGTCTCCACCAGCACCTCGCTGCTGACCAGCGGCGCGGCGGCGGGCTGCGGGAACGACACCCCCGTCCAGTAGCTGCGCATGATGGGGCGAGGCGAGGGGGCCAGCGTGAGGCAGGCACGCGGGCAGGCAGGCAAGCAGGTTGCAAGCAGGCAGGCAGGCGGGCAGGCAGGCAGCCATGAGCGGCCTCCTCACCGGAAGTTCTTCCCAAAGGCGTCCAGGTGCGCCGCCTCGGTCACCAGGTCCAGCTGCTCCTTCAGCGGGGCGCCAAACTGCAGCCGGGGGAGGAGGCGAGCGGGAGAGGGGGCAGCAGGAGGGGCTGGTGGTGAGGCAGGTGTGGGGGGGGAGGACCAAAAGGGTTCTGCCGATGGCCCCTGCGCAGCAGGTGGCAGCACAGGACGCCCCAGCCCAGCACCAGCACCAGCAGGCAGCCCCAGCGAGACAGCCGCCGTACCGCCGCACCTGCATGACCGACTCCTTGATTGCCGGGCTGCCTACCAGCGGCAGCGCGGCCAGCAGCGCGGCGCCCCGCCACATCAGCGTGACGTCTCGGTCCATGAGCACGCCCACGCCCGGGTGCCGCACCTGGAAGGAGGGAGGGAGGGAGGGCGCGGAACTGGGTCAGGCTAGCAGGCTTCCTTCTCTTGTTGCTGGGGGGTAAGCAAGTAAGGGGCGCGAGGCAAGTGCCCCGAGCCCTACTGCGCATGCTGCCGAGCCGGCGGCCGGCAGGCAGAGGGAGGGAGGGCGGCGCCGCGGCGCCGCGCCGCCCGCAGGCCGCACCTTGACCGCCACCGCGCCGCCCGGCTTGAACAGCCGCTCGCGGCGGAGCGGCAGCAGGCCGCCGCGGGTGCGCGTGCCCGCCAGCGCGGCGCCGCGCTCCGACAGGACCGCGCGGTACACCTGGGCGATGCTGCCGGAGGCCACCGGTACCGCCTCGAACTCGGCAAACAGCTCGGGGATGGGCGCACCAAAGGCCGACTGTACCGCCGTCGCCGTGGCCGCGTATGGGTGGGTGGGTGCCCTGGTCTGCAGCTCCGCCAGCGCCGTGCATATGTCTTGAGGGAACAGGTCGGGCCGCGTGGCCGCCCACTGGCCCCACTTGATGAAGGCCGGGCCTGCAGGCAGGCGGGCGCGGGCGGCGGCGGGGAGCGGCGGGGGTCGGGCGGCGGCGCGCGGCCAAGGCCTGCGGGCCCGGCCACGCCCGCTGCCTGCCTGCTGCCGGCGGGCGAGCGCATGCGCCGTGGGCCAGGCCCGGCCCCTGGCTACATCCATGCGCCACACACACACACACACACACACACAACGCCATCCACACGCGCACCCCCACCCACCACCTCCCGCACCACCCGCGCGCCGCGCGCACCTGCTTGCTCCAGCGTCCAGCGCATGAGCGCGAGCCAGCGGTCGCGATGGATGTCGGTGAGCAGGCAGACGGGGGCGGTGAGGATGGCGGGCAGGAAGAGGGCCCACAGGAACAGCCCCCGCAGCAGGATGGCGAGCTCCTCGTGAAGTGCCGCCGCCAGCTGGGCCACAGCCGCCCGGATCTGGCCCAGGCTCAGCTGCACCTCGGCGCGCCGCCGCGGCCCCCGCTCCGCCCGCGGCGCGTGGTAGGCGTGCGCCGTGCAGGGCCAGAGCTGCGCCGCCGCGAGGGGCACGCCCACCGCCACCAGGCGCTGCAGGGTCGGAGGGCGCACGGTGGGGTGGAGGTTAGGCACTGGCGGGTGGACCGCAGATGCCGAAAAAGCAGGCAGGCAGGCAATGAATCGGCAGCGCTCCGCAGGGCCCCAAAACATCCGCAGCACGACGGCACGACACACACAGCGGCGGCGGCGCAGCCCTGCCGCGGCCCTGCCGCAGCCAGCGGCGGCGCACCTGCCCGGTCTGCAGGGTGGTGAGCGAGTTGGCCACAGCCACCAGGCGGTGCTCCGCCTCCTCCCACTGCGCGATGAGGCGGCGCGCCGCGGCGGCCTGCCGCGTCCGCAGCGCCGCCACCACCGCCTCCGAGTGGTGGCCCCAGATGCTGCGCACCAGCAGCGGGATGCGGTGCTGCAGTTCCTCCACCTCGGCCCTGAGGCTGACGCCCAGCTCGCTCAGCCGTGCCAGCCCCTGCTGGCTCGCCCGCTCCAGCTGCGCCAGCGTGAGGAGGCTGCTGCCAGAGGCGCCCTCGCCCGCCGCGGCCCTGCCGTGGGGACAAAGCGGGGGTAGGGGTGGTCACGACAGAGGGGTGGGGGTAGGGTAGCTGCCGCTCGCTTCCGGCGACGCCAGGGCACCGCCTTGGCGGCCCAGTCAGGCCGGCGTGCTGAGGCACCCCGCGGCAAACCCATACTGCCACATACGGTCCGTGTGACAAGGAGCCTATCAGCAGGGCGAGCGGGCCCGAGGGTGCAGCGCCGCCGAGGCACCAGTGCAACCTTGCCTGGCTTACTCACCTCCTTGCTGCTGCTGCCAGGGCTTCCTCTGCAGCCGACCTCCTCAGCTGCATGGCGGCAGAGCGCGCCGCCTGTGTCACCGCTGCCCGCATGTGTGTGTGAGTGCTTCAAGCAGCAAGGCGGCTGCAGGGAGGCGGCTCCCGCGTCAGCGTAAGAGATAAGTCCACTCCAATCGTCAGAGCACGCGCAATTGCGTGGGGCTATGGTCAGGCCGTGAGTGTACCTCGGCGCATTGGGGCTTTGGAAAAACTAGCACCTATAGCCCGTTTGCTGCTACCGGAATGGTCGCACAGTAGCGTGTGATATTGCTGAAAGAGCAAGGGGTGAGGACGGGAGGCGATCGCCCGCGATTGCTCTTCCGCCATCCCAGTTCTCCCTCGATGGCCGTCACTTGGCAGTCCCTGCAGCGGCACCAGGATACTCTCCTTCACAACTTTTCGGTGGACCAAGGCACTCGGCCTGAGCACCTGGAAGCCCATCTGGAGCGTAGGGCTGCCTGCAACAACGCGATCACCGCTCAATTGGTGCTCACCCACGCGCAGACTGGCGGCGTCCTGTCCACCACGCCTGTAGAAGGTTCGCGAGGGGGTTGGCAGTGGCAGCGGCGGCGGCGGCGGCAGGCGGCGCCGCTCCTGGGCCAGCGCAACGCTTGTTATCAAAATCCAGGCCTATGACTGGTGGATCTGTCCTTCCCTTGTGCTCATTGTTTGTCCCCCCTGGCCGCCTCTGCAGGCCCCTGCAACTGGGGAGACCTGTCGGCCCGCTTCGACCCCGCCAGGCGCCGCCTCCAGGTCAGCATCCAGCTGCTGCCGCCTGGCACCCCCGACGAGCTCGCCCAGGCAGCGGCAGCACGCAGCGCAGGCAGCAGCCGGGCAGGCAGCGACGGCAGCGCCTCGCCCATGCCAGCCGCGGCGGCATCGGTGACGGCCTCGCCGCCGCCCTCCTCCCGCAGCAGCATGGACAGCCTGCACTCTGCCACCTCTGACCTCCCGCTGGTGGAAGCAGAGGAGCTGCAGGCTGACGGGGCGCCGCAGGCGGCAACCACGCCCGACGCCAGTGGCAGCAAGCCTGCGCCGGCCGGCGCCGGCAGCGCGGACGGCGACGGCCTGGCTGCTGGGCTGGGCCGGCCCGCGTCGGCGGGTGCCGCAGCGCCCGCCGCGCCCCATCTGTCTGTGGAGGAGGATGCGGGGGCAGCGACACCTGCCCAGGAGGCCTCAGCCGCAGAGGATGTAACCGAGCTAGCGGCAGCCGAGGGCGCCGAGGCAGACGCGGCGAAAAAGAAGAAAAAGAAGAAGAAGAAAAAGAAGAAAAAGGCGGCGGGCGGCCAGGGGGCAGCAGCAGACAGCGATGAGGGAGAAGAGGAGGAGGAGGCTGCACCCAATGAGCCGCCGCCGCCCGCGGCGGCAGCTGTAGCTGGCCTGGAGCAGCAGCAGGAGGAGGGAGTGGAGCAGGCAGGCGCGGTCGCTGCGCCGCCCGAGCCTGCCCCTGGGAAGCTGCCGGCGGCCGGCGACGTGCCTGCGCAGGAAGAGCAGCAGCAGCAGCAGCAGAGTGAGGCTAGCTCGTCAGCAGAGGAGGCCACGGAACGCACGATATCGGGGCGGTCGGAGCTGGGCAAGGAGGTGGCCGTGAGCCGGGCCAGGTGAGGGGCCGCCCTCTGCGCGTGCTGGGCAGCTGCAGCGGTGCGCCCCGCCCTGCTGGTACCGTGGTGGCGCTGCTGTGGCCCCTGCCACCACCCTGCCTGGCCCTGCCTGCTGCAGCGGTCCGGCCGTGCGAGAGGCGCTGTCCAAGGATCGCAAGAAGGATTCCGGGGGTGGGGAGGATCAGTGGCTGCTCAAGCCCGCCAACGCCTGGGGCCTGGAGTGCGCCGCAGGTGCGTGGCCCGTTGCGCTGACACGCGTGCGCTGCCCCTTGGCTGCTCCAGCCTCCCGTCTGGCCGCTGGCTCGCCCTCCCACCTCGCGACCCCTGTGGGCTGATGGAACCGCCAGCACACCCCGCCGCTGCCTGCGGGCGCAGGAGAGGCGTCCTTCTCGGCGTTTGGCGTGTTTGACGGCCACGGCGGCCGCCAGGTGGCCACCTTTGCCTCCAACAACCTGCTCAAGGCGGTGATGGCGGAGGTGGATGCCTCGCCCGTGCCCCTGCAGGTGGGGCGGCGGGCCGGCGCTTGCTGTTGTGGGTTGTGATGTACAACAGCACACGCTGCCGGTACTGGTCGGGTGCCGGCTGGCCGCCGCTCCCTCTGGCCGGCTACCCAGCCTGCAAAGGGTTGGGGCGCCGGCACAACTCGACCCTGCTGGCCGGCTGGCCGCGCCTGGCGCTGTGCAGGAGGTGCCCGAGGTGGAGGGGCTGAGCCCAGAGGATGCGGCGCAGTGGCAGCTGCAGGCCACGCTCATGGCACGCCTGCCGCAGGTGTGCCCGCCGCGGCCTGCCCCTGCGCTGCGCTGCCACACAGCTGCACACGCATCCGCGCAGCGCTCCTCCACCCATGCTCCGCGCCAGACCTTGCCCCCCGCCCCGCGCCGCAACCCACAGCGGCACCACCACCCCCCGCGCCGCAGGCTTGCGCCACCGCCTTCCGGGGCGTGGATGCCGACGCCCAGCGGCGCTGGCCGCAGCGCGGCGGCACCACCGCCACGCTGGCGCTGGTCTGCGGCTGGGAGCTGCTGGTGGCAAACGTGGGCGACTCGTGCGCCTATCTGGACACAGGCAGTGAGGTCCTGCAGGTGCGGAGCAGGACAGTGCGGCGCGGCGTGGCGGGGAGGGAGGGGTGTGGAGGGGCGCGGGTTGCGGGGCGCGGGCCAGGGCGAGGGGGCGGCGGCACACACTAGCAGCGAGCCCTGGGCCAGGCGACGGCCTGCCAGGGCCACCGCGCTCCTCCTGCTGCCCACCCCGGGCCCCCACGCCTGCCCGACCTCTGCGCTGCCGCCCGCCGCGCCGCCGTCCCCGCGCGCTGCTCCTGCCGCCTGCAGGTCAGCGGCAACCACCGGCTGGAGGACAACAGGGGGGAGGTGGAGCGGTGCCGCGCCGCGGGGCACGACGTGGCGCCTTCCACCGTGGAGGGCAAGCCCGCGGGGCCCATCAGGTGAAAAAACAACAGAGTTTGTGTCTTACATAAAACAATTGTGTGCCGAGTGGGTGGGGGTCCCCTCTGCCGGGCCTGCGCCTTGGCCGGCTGGAGGCGCAGGCTGGCTGGAGGGTTGGCGGGCTGGCGGAGTGTGCCCTGTAGAATAGAGGAGGCGAGCGGCTTCCTGGCTGCCTGCCTCCTGCCCGCCCACCTGCCTGCCTTCTTCCACTGTGCGTGTGGCGCAGGGTGTGGCCCGGCGGCCTCAACATGGCGCGCACCATCGGGGATGCCGAGGCGGGGGAGGTGGTCACGGCAGAGCCAGAGGTGCGGTGTGTGCGTGGTATGTGTGTGTGTGTGGTGTGTGTGCGGTGTGTGCGTGTGTGTGCATGTGTGTGGTGTGTGTGTGTGTGTGTGTGTGTGTGTGTGTGTGTGTGTGTCTGTGTGTGTGCCGCCCTGGGTTC